ATAAAATTCAAATTATAAATTATTTTCTCTATTCTTCATTATCAGTGGATTGATGATCGATTATTCAAACAAGAGTACAATTGTAAATCTCGATGTCGAAGATGGCTCTCTTTTGAAGATGAATAATTGAAAAAATCTCGTATACATCGAGAAGATTCATAATTTGATCGAATTTCAAGATAAAAGTCGTATTTAAAAAAAATGAAAGTATTTAAATAATAATTGTTTTCATTTTACAAATAGTTCTTTTCTCTTTGATCATCAACGAATGAAAAACCATTGAATATTAATATATTGAAGGTCCTAGATAGAAAACTGAATTTGATCGGATCAATTCTAGCAGACAAATATTATTCAGATCGAGAAAAAAAATCAAAATGCACAGAGGGACACAGAAAAATGCCTTCTCAATACACATATCGCTTAGACCATATCATCAGTTCTCTTGTTATCATAGTTGTTGTATACCAACGACACTCTCCCATAATACTTTCAATTGAAGCAAATCAGTTTTTGTAGATGCCACTTTTCAGACGCAACTATTCTGGTGTTGCATTCGAAGCGAACAAGCTTTTTTTCTTCTATTTCATATTGCTTCACAAGTAAAAAAACGTAGGATTGTTTTTTCACCTTGCTTTATCTCTTGTTTGCACAAGATTGTCCTTTCTCTCAACATGCCTTTTGTACAAAGCAACAAAACAAATATTTCATCAAATTACAAGTAAGAGATTCGTATATAGATGAAATCGAATCTGTTGAAAGATCCGTATGTTCTTTTATGGAGATTGAGCATTTACTCAAGCCGAAAATTGGGTTAAGATTAATTTTTCAAACGTTACTCTCGATAGGAGGTATTCAACAGACATCACTTCAATTTCTACTATTATGTGTTAACACTCCACTTTATCGTTAATATTAAGTTTAAGTTTTTCTACTGAACACTTAATTGACATAAATTTTAGTTTGAATGATTGTGTTGGGCAAATATAATTGAAATTAAAAGTTTTCTTTATTTCTGTACATTATTAGCATGAGATTATCTAATTAATGTAAGAGCGAACCTCCTTGGTAACTACTGGATCATGCAAAATAACAACATAATATTCACCTGAGCTAGTCATCTAAAATTAATTTTAAGTGAATTGAGAGAGACTGGTAGAAAGTCTTCTTCCAATGTATTAATATACTAAAGACTAAAACATAATTTTTCTTCTTTCCATATGTTAGCGTCAAAAGCTGTCGCTCATTGACGCTAAACTTATAATCAAGTACCATCAGTTATTTAATCCTCTTCGATTTTTTCTATTATTCGTTTTGTTATCGCTGACTCTCGTGATTCATATATATATATATGTGATTGCGTCATCTCATTCTGTTCTGTTGTTGTTATTAGTCTTTTCTATTGTTATTATTATTATTTTTTCCATATTTTCATTTAATATTATTATTGTTGATATTATTAACATCATTATTAATTGTTAAGTGTTTATTTATTATAAAATGAACATTATCAGTATTATTTCTATTCAATAAAAAGTATCCAGAAATTACGGCAATCCAGGTCATGGTAAGCAATTTTCACGGTGAGTTCTCTTTTCGTTTGTGCAGACAATACCCCTCCCGTTATTTCTAAGTCTACGTCCTTTATGAAAAATAAAAACATTAGCTACACCCAATTGAGACACTCACACCATATGAAAATGTTTTCTTTTCAACTCAAACACGAGCATGACAACCTGTTCAATTGCAATTATAGAAATACAAGAATATTTGAAAACTAAATTTCATATCTATTTGTCTACTCACGGACAACTTTTTCATCTTTAATCAAAGAAAATAGAATGAAAATATAAACTAGATAACATTGAAAAGATTTAAAAGAATTCTAACACTTCTCATCGGCTACTTTTGTCATTATAATTGAATTGTTTTACAACAATCGAGAGAATTTTCGAATATTTCGTGATGAAAATTACTTTCGTTCTTTAATTTAATGTCTTAAATAACATATCTAGTCGAGTCATAGTTAATTCCAAATGAATAAGAATGGCAATGTGTGTGTCTAGAGCTACTCTTCTCATCAAAGATAGAAATCAGTATATCTATTCAATTTTCTTGTATCCCATACTTGTCTAAATAGATAGCTAAATCTCAATTTATACTCATATCCCAAATTCTTACATGAAATCCCAATTGATTCAATTTGGATCAGTATTGATTTTTTGGTGAAAGTATGATCATTATTTACTTTCGCTTAGCACCTTCCAGACGGGGTTACTTTTGAGGAAAGAGATGAGATTTTTCGGACGTTTCGTATAACATATTTATATTAGTTTTAAAAAGTTGTTGTTAAATATTTTAGAGTATAATAATCCTTGAAATAATCAGAAATGCAAAGTTCGACATTACATTCAGTACATTCGTATCTATAGTCGCTCCTCTTCTTAGGTCTTCTTGTTGTGTTTGCGCCAACTATGCATTGCCTTTGAGCATTTTGTTTTGCCGCTGTTGAAGGTATCAATGATGGAAAATGACTGTCAACTTTCCTAGTAGGATTTTCTTCATTACTAGACAGACTCCTGGGTGTTTTTGATTCCCTGTACGTTTCAATAATTTCACGAATCAGATGTAGTTGGAACTCATAAAATCCAATAGTTTGACCAGTCTTTTGCTTATGTAGGACGTATGAATTCAGTACAGATATATTCAACAGATGAAGAACTTCTGTTTTGATTAGATTTTATGATAGAGATGGATTTCTGAATTGATTCCTTCGTTGTTAGATCTATTTTTCCGGTGCTCACTATTTTTGACTCATGTATTGTCGAAAGGATGGTGACTTTGCGTCTGTCAAACCATTTTACTGCAAGCAAAATATCAATATGTCAATAAGTGATTTTATCTTTTCTTAGTTTTTTTGATAAAAGTTGGCATTCTAACTCTATTTTGTTGTACTGTATCACAGGCACCAGTTGAGTTTTCATGTAGATATTCAAAAAGTGCTAGAATTGTGTACTAATTATCAATGAATAGATTATGACTTTTTTGAAGATATGGCTGCATAAGTGTTATTACAACGGCTCCTAAAATTTCAAACTCTTCCTTTTTGAGAACCTCTATATGAGATCCTGTATAAACTAGGAAACCTAATATAAATCCAGTACGACAATCACATAAAATGAACATTCTTATTCCAAATTTGTTTCGTTTTGACGAAATGTTTTGTCTAAAACTTAGTCGTCTTTTATACAGCAGTAAGCTTTCATCAATAAAAAGGTTTCTATATGGAACTATAATATGTCTAAATTTTTTCTTTAAATCTTCCATAATAGGTCGTATTTTGTATAATCTATCTCCTTCGGATTGATTGACGTCATCATTGAAATGGAACAATTTCAAAAGTAAAAAAAATCTATCTTTAGGCATGATATCACCAAAGATAAGTGTTGAAATCAGGTAATCGTTCGACCAATAGTCTTTAATTCTGTATTTTTTCACATGAGTCATCTACATAAATATTATCAAAAATAGAAAAATTTCATCTGATTTGGTCGCAGATCATATTGTTCGATGTGATGCTGACGATGAATTATCATCGGTTGAATATGTCTGAAACTTGTTAGTTTCGTCAACAATGATTTTGATTAACCTTTGATCAAAAAGTAGCTTGAAAAAGTTTAATCGTGAACTTCTCTTCAAATTATTAATTCCACAGCCTTTGCTTTAAAATTGAAATAGTCTTGAATAGAAGGTTGCTTGTTGCCATGACCTTGAAGTATGAGACAAACGACTAGATGACGAAGCGTTTTCACTGTCTGAAACCTCTGCACAACCTTCGAAAATACAATCACTGCGTTGTTCAGCTTTGGAGCTACTTTAACCTTGTGGTTCACTTTCTGATACAAGATACTGGAAAATTTCGTTGATTTCACAATTGTCAGTTTCTTTAGCAGTTGCCATTTCAATTGATAAAAAGTATTAAATGCTAAAGTATTTGTCAGAGTATTTCGTAATATAGTTGAACTCCTTTATGTAAGTGATCGAAAGTACCATATACTTGAGGACCAGAGAGCTAAGAACAACATAGAATATGCCAGAATAAGAATGAATAAAGGTGAGCACATAGAAGGACTATTCATAAATGTAATACGCTTAAATATAGATGACAGAATGTTAAAAATTATAGAGTTATGAGTATCATAAATCATTGCTTCTGTCATGCAGATTCCACTCCGATGTTCTCTTTCTTTACATTATTGTAAACTGACATCATAATTTCCCTTTGTTAATCAATTTATGTATACTCTGAAATATTCTTTTTTACCTCAGCGACGACGTATCTCTCATTTTCATAGTTATTTCCGCTATTTTTTATTGTTATTAAGTTAATGTTCAATACAGTAGTAACCACAAAGATTTTGAAACATAGAACAGGACGATAATTTTTATATATATAGAAAATTAATAGAAATAGTTAAGATACATGATCATCGTTCTCCAACAGACCAGAATCATATCATAGGAGACACTAATAAATCAAATTACAAGTTGATACAGTTATCACATATATATACGTGGTCCGTCCCGAAGGTGTTAATGAAAGTGTATACACGACAGAAAAGTTAGAATTTATCAGATAAAAATTACAGCAACAAGAAACGATTTGTTGAAATAGCATTACTTGAATCTTCGAACATGCATGTTTATCGAGATTTTTTAGCATTGTGCCATTGTCATCACTGACTCACAATGAAGCTAGATTACAGTTGTAAAATGAGTATGTCGAAAACATTAGATCAAAGCAAATTTCATTTACAATTTGATAGTTTTCATAAGTTCATATTTTTGTAGATTTATTTCTTCTAATTAATCCTTTCTTATCATATCAGTTAAATTGCAAATATCCCCTGAATTATAAGCAAAATGAATAACGCATTTGAATGAAAACAGTGATTAGTTCTGCTCCATACTTTTCTATTTCAGTGCCACTAAGTGCAAGTATGGTTGATATTCATACGAATGCAAAATGGTCACAGAATGCTATCACTGTTGCAGGAGGAAATGGACAAGGCAGCGGAACCAATCAACTGTCTTGGTCGTATGGTTTTTACGTCGACGATGATCAAACGATTTATGTCGCTGATTGGGGAAATAACCGTATTGTAGAATGGAAATCTGGTGCAATGAATGGTAAAGTAGTTGCTGGTGGAAATGGACAAGGAAATGGAGCTCATCAATTAAATAACCCAATAGATGTGATAATCGACAAAGAGAGCGATACTCTCATCATCAGCGATAGATGGAACTACAGAGTAGTCCGATGGCCTCGTCGAAATGGTACGAGTGGAGAAACAATTATTTCGAATATCTCTTGCATCGGTTTGACAATGGACGAAAATGGTTCTCTCTATGTCGTTGACAGTGAAAAACATGAAGTGAGACGATATAAAATTGGTGACACTAAAGGAATAGTGGTTGCGGGTGGCAATGGAAAAGGATATCGTCTCGATCAACTCTCTGCACCCCACTACGTATTTGTCGATCGAGATCGTTCAGTTTATGTGTCCGAATATGGAAATCATCGTGTAATGAAATGGGAAGAAGGTGCAACACAAGGCATTGTCGTAGCCGGTGGTCAAGGACCAGGAAATAGTCTCATACAATTGCATGGTCCTCGAGGAGTCGTTGTCGATCAATTGGGGACTGTCTATGTAGCTGAGCGGATAAATAAGCGAATCATGCGTTGGCCAAAAGGAGCCACACAGGGAAGTGTCATTGTTGGTGGAAACGATCAAGGAGCACAGTCGAATCAATTCTATTATCCCGCAGGTTTATCATTCGATTGCCATGGCAATCTCTATGTTGCTGATTCTTGGAATAATCGAATACAAAGACATAATATCGAATAAACTCAATACAAAAATATTTTTTCTTTTATTCCTTTTCTCGTTCAAATGAATCACGACTGAATGTAAAATGTATTGAAAGCTATTCTATTCTCGCACGCGTAGGAAGGCTCATATCATCTACATGCACCCATCCGATACCACATATCAATGAGTCTAGAGTCCCCATCGTGTGCTACGGATACCAAAACAGTTTCTGGCCAAGATTTTAGGGATTACTCGGAAGTCCTCATATAACGCGAAACCTTAACCTTAACGGTCATCACTCCTTTCCTCTCTAACCCGTCTCATATAAAAAAAAGAAACGAAACAACACATTTAATCGTTGATGTTGGATGATGACGCGATGCGATGATAACAACGACTTAAGAAAAGAAACAGAACAATGGAAAGACTTACCACCCTTCATATACTAGTAGTCAAGAAACATCATTCTTTTCGTCAGAGAATGATGAAAAGACGGTAAATTGAATTTTCGCCGACAACAACTCCGCCGAAAATACAGTTCGTCGATTCCATTTTTGCCGAATGAATTTATCCCCGAAAATGAATATAAGATGAATTTAATCGATCATATAGACAACAATTATATTTTAGATAATTAGTTCATGGCACTAAGTCAGTTAGACCCCTTATGAATTGGCTACCAAGTCGGTTGAATTGACTACCAAGTCAGATGATAACCATCTGAGTTGGTAGCTATTTCAGTTGGTAACTATCTGAGTTGGTGAGTGGGTGTGGGAGTGTTGAGAGCACAAGAGGGTGTGGGTGTGGGTGTGCATGCGGATGTCGGTGTGTGAGTGAGTGTGGGTGTGGATGTGGATGTATCTCCTTTGTTCACTCACATCCACACCCACACCCCACCCACACCCCGAAAATTTTTTTCCGTGGGTAAAGATGGAATTGTCTAAGTTCTGTTACTGATTCTAAGAATTGTTGAAGTTTTATATTATTAAATGAACATTCATCTTTCATTTGAATATTCATGTCAACTAAATTGACTGATAAACAAATGAATAATGATGAAAACTGTTTTATGGCATTTGTTATCTGATCGATATAAATTCTGACATATTCTGTTCTTAATATTGGAATGGATAATATCTCTGATATAATATGAATTATTTTTGACCAGTTTGTTATATTCACTGCATCAAATATTTTCAATCGAAATATCATAACAATTGAGTATAAAACAAATGTATTTTTGTTTGTTATTTTCTCATCAACTCATTTATTATGATTACTATTTCGTCAAACATAATTAATCTTGAAAAAACTATTTGTAAAAATTTAAAAATCTATTTGATGTGATAATTACAGCCTGCAATGTAGGAGATAGAATACACTTATGATGGAAATGTTCATAAAATAAATGTAATAAAACTACTTGTTAGAACCACCATCTATCGAGATATTTTTACGGTACTCTTGAGTATCGACGCACTTTAATAATGTCCATATCGATATTTTTCTTAACGGCTGTACTGAAATGTTTTCACCTGCTTTTTTTTCTCGCTTTCTTCCAAACAGTTTGTCTTAATGTATTTTTTTTTTCTTTCCTTTTCTATGCTTGATGAAGCAGTTCAAAGCTATTTCTCTTCTCATGTGAGGTTCATTGCAATTTTATAGTTATTTACACCAACACGACATTATACAAATGTGCTCTTCAGAAATAACATACTGTTTCAACGCTCATACATTTCATTAAAAAAACACCTTATAACAAATAGAATGCAACTATATCTAACAATATGACTCATTCACTTCTTACATTATCAGTCGAATTGATCTACCGTATTCTGGACAATCTCGATCAATTAACCATTCTTCTCTCAGTTCGAAATGTGTGCACACGTCCCAATACTATCACGGATACTTATCAGCGATATCAGGTAAACTACAGCTTCACTTTTTTGTAAATGACAGAACTTCTATAATATGATGCTAAGCTAAAGGCTATATGCAACTATTATTTCCCCTCGAACACATAGACATTGAGTGATCTTCAAAACTCAGAGAAGTTAGTAATGCATTAATATTAGAGTTCAACACGATTTGAACTTGTTCGAACCCAAATTCGATCCTATTTGACATAACTAAATTTTAATTAACGATCGAATTAAATTGCATTCAGTTCCAGAATTCTAATATATTTATCGTTCATCTCAAAAGATCTGTAGTAAAACCTTGTATGTAATATCTTAAAAGTTGCATCATTATTACTGCTTAATCTTTCACTAAGTGTTTAGTGACAGATGTCGAAGACTATGAATTCTGATACATTGCAAAGACTAAGACAAAGTCAGAACAGAAAGTTCTTTATGTACCATGTCGATGAGAAACGAAAATACCTTTGAAAAATCATCGAAATTTGGAAGTTATTTTTCCATCCGTTTTGTAATTAGTAAACAAATTCACTAACCCTAGTTGCTTTGTAATGACAATCCTATAAAGCATAAATAAATTAAATTAACATCTTCGATCAAAGGTTGTATTTGGTGATCATTGTAAAAACAAATAAATAACACACTCATATTCATCATTTTAAAACATAAGAAATATGTAACAATCAAATATTATCATTTTGAATAGTTTTCTAATTTTCTAACACTTTTCAAATCAATCAAACACTCTAGTTATTAAAGACAAATAAAACTTTAGATACAATTGAAGAAATTTAATTACATCAATCTTTTGATACCATATGCTTTTCAATCTTCTATCTGGTGATTTATAGTGCAACAGATCTTCACTCTTCATATTCAATGGAAACAATATTATTCAAAGATTCTTAGCATATTTCATCCGACGTTGATAAATACCAACTTATTTAAAAATGTTAAAGGAAACCAACAAAATTCAATTCCAGTTTTTGAATCTAGTTTTTGATACGAAAATTCATACGGAAGTCATTATAGTCCAATATTTTTGCGAAATCCAACTTGGAAAACATTCGTGTTCAATTGAGTGAATGCAAGAGAAAATGATTCTTAATCTTCTTTTTCAAATATAGGCGAATTTTTACAACTGTATTAATCATTGAAATCTTCTTTCTCAAGTATACAGACCATAATGCTATACATGTGTTACTACACCGAATCTCTTATTGCATGTTTTATTTCACAAAATACTACTCTTAAGAACTGTCCAAAGATGGCTTGAGAATCCTTGTTAATAGAAGAAAATGATCCTAGAAAGAACGCTACCTAACGCGAATCTCCTATTTAAAAAAAATTTAATTTTCTCTAAAATTGTCTATAGACGTTCAACAAACTGGACATGAAACAGATAACTAGCGATGATCAAACATTACAAAATTTAGCATATGCATTACAGTATAACTCGGTGGGAGAATTTTTCTTACTAAATATAAATTCATCATTATTTTTCAAAACAGACACTCTCTACACTCAATTTGCCTTGGAATAATATTGGTGCTAAAGGGACACAATATCTGGCTCGAGCATTAGAGAAAAACAATGTGAGACCAGGTTTCTTCTTATTAACTAAATATTCCACATTATGTTTCAATATAGACACTCATCACACTTCGTCTTCCGGTCAACCAAATTGGCGACCAAGGTGCACAATATCTGGCTCAAGCATTATACAATAATACCGTCAGATCAGTCTTCTTCTCATCGATTATAAATTAACTATTGTCTTTCAATATAGACACTCACTACACTCGATATTGAGAACAACAGAATCGGTGCTATAGGGGCACAACATCTAGCTCAAGCATTACAGAATAATAGAGTGAGACAAGTTGTCTTCTCATCAACTATAAATTCATCATTATGTTTCAATATAGACACTCACTACACTTAAGCTTGAGCGAAACGACATCGGTGCTAAAGGGACACAATATTTGGCTGAAGCATTACAGAATAATACAGTGAGACCAGTTTTCTTCTTATCTATTGTAAATTCACTATTATATTCCAATACAGGCACTCACCATGCTGAATCTTTATTGCAACAGCATCGGTGTTCAAGGAGCACAATATCTAGCTGAAACATTACAAAATAATAAGGTGAAACCATTTTTTTTCTTATCTATTGTAAATTCACCATTATGTTTCAATACAGACACTCACCACACTCGACTTGCGCCACAACCATCTCAAGACTGAAGGGACACAATATTTGGCTGAAGCATTACAGAATAATACAGTGAGAGAAGTTATTTTCTGATCGACTATAGATTCATCATTATTTGTCAATAAAGACACTCATCACGCTCTATCTTGGGACTAACAATATTGATGCTGAAGGAGCACGACATCTGGCGCAAGCATTACTTAAAAACACCGTGAAACTAGGTTTCTTATCATTGACTATAAATTAACGATTATGTTTCAATATAGACACTCACTACGCTTAACCTTCAGCAAAATGACATCGGTGCTGAGGGAGCACAATATCTGGCTCAAGCATTAGAGAAAAACACCGTGAGACCCGATTTCTTCTTATTAACTAAATATTCAACATTATGTTTCAATATAGACACTCAATACGCTGAGTCTTGAGCAAAACTACATCAGTACTGAAGGGGTACAATATCTGGCCCAAGTATTACAGAATAATATGGTAAGATCAGCTATCACATCTACTACAAATTCATCATTATATGTCAATATAGACACTCATCACGCTCAATCTATGCGTCAACAGCATGGATGACCAAGGAGCACAATATCTAGCTCAAGCATTACAGAATAATACTGTGAGATTAGTGTTCTTCTCATCGACTATAAATTCAGCATTTGTGTTTCAATACAGACACTCACTGCACTAGATCTTCGATCAAACAATATCGGTACTGAAGGAACTCAATATCTGGCTCAAGCATTACACCATAATAAAGTGAGAACAGGTTTCTCATTATCGACTATAAATTAACCATTATTTACCAATACAAACACTCATTACACTCCAACTTGGAAGCAACAGAATCGATGCTGAAGGAGCACAATATCTAGCTCAAGCATTGCAGAATAACAGAGTGAGACAAGTTATTTTCTCATCAACTATAAATTCAACATTATGTTTCAATACAGGCACTCATCATGCTCGATCTCGATTGGTTGCGTATAGGTACTGCAGGAGCACAATATTTGTCTCAAGCATTACAGAATAATACGGTGAGACAGTTTTCTTCTTATCTACTCTAAATTCTTCATTATATTTCAATACAGACACTCACTACACTCAATTTGCCCTGGAACAATATCAATGCAGAAGGGGCACAATATCTGGCTCAAGCATTAGAGAAAAACACTGTGAGATCAGGTTTCTTGTCTTTAACTAAAAATTCAACATTATGTTTCAATACAGACACTCACTATACTAGACCTCAACTCAAACAATATCAGTGCTGAAGGGACTCAGTATCTGGCTCAAGCGTTACAGAAAAACACTGTGAGATCAGGGTTCTTGTCATGGAGTATAAATTAATCATTATGTTTCATAACAGAAACTCACGACACTCGAGTTCGGTTTCAACAATATTGGTAATAAAGGGGCACAACATCTAGCTCAAGTATTACAGAATAATACAGTGAGACCAGTTTTGTTCTCATAGACTATAAATTAACCATTATGTTTCAATATAGACACTCACTACACTTAATCTTGAGCAAAACAACATCGATGCTGAAGGCGCACAATATCTGGCTGAAGTATTACAAAATAATATAGTGAAACAAGTTATTTTCTCATTGACTGTAAATCCACTATAATATTTTGCTATAGGCACTCACTACACTCATTCTTAAGAAAAATAACATCGGTGCTAAAGGAGCACAATATTTGGCTAAAGCATTACAGAATAATACGGTGAGACAAATTATCTTCTTCTCGCCAATAAATTTACTATTATGTTCCAATACAGGCACTTACCACACTGGATCTTTATTGTAACAAAATCGGTCCTGAAGGAGCACAATATCTGGCTCAAGCATTACAGAATAATAGTGTGAGACAAGTTTTCTTTTTATCCATCGTAAATTCACCATTATGTTTCAATAAAGACACTCACTACACTCAATTTGTGCTACAACAATCTTGGTGCTGATGGGGCAAAATATCTGGCTCAGTCATTACGAAATAATACGATGAGACTAATTTTCTTTTTTATCTATTGTACGTTTGCCATTATATTTCACTATAGAGATTCACCACACTCGATTGGCGCTACGACAGTTTCACTACTGAAGACGAAAGCAATCTGTATCATCATTGAGGAATCTATTTTTTAACGAGAGTTTGGTATTAGCAGTAATTCATGCATCTGCTTTCATCGAAAAATCCTTTCTAATTTTCACTTTAAGATGGATTTTAATATTTTCAACGTTATTTTTTAAAGTTTTCTATATTTAATTGAGAAAAATTTATACAAAAAATAAATGACAAGAAAATAACAGATTTGTCTATGTGGATCACTTTCATTGATTAGGTGTTCTAATTAGGCGACATGATATTTAGTTTATTTGAGATTGTAACTCTTCCTCTGTGGGGTGTGGATGTGGGTGTGAATGAAAAGAAACATCACACCCACACCCTATATATATAGATAGATGGATAGATAAACCGAGTTTCATTTTCAAAATTTCCCTATGAAAGAAAATGTCAAAACGCTGCCTTAGGTGCCACTAAATTTTCAAAAATTTCCTCAGGTGCTCATGAGTTTTGCAACATTTCCCCTGACGACCGTCCGCTCACACGGGTAGATTCTGCATGGCTGGTGTTGATAAACAAATGTGTTAAGTACTTCTAGAATTTTCGTTACTAACAATTTCTAGTGCAATTTATATTTATTTATTTCCTATGCTAAGCATAATATTTATCTATTTAAAAATGGTTAGATATGCACAAGAAATGAGTAAACATGTAAATCCAGTTAATAGATTATCTCATGCTCAACAAGAATTAACAATGATTCGACGTATAGTTTCACTTATATCCATTTTAGCCGCACTTGATTTTCCTTATTTGATCTTTATTTTGATGTCATTTTCGTTTTGCTCTTTTGTTCGTCGATATATCCTTGGTATTTGTGATGGCTGCTCTTTTGGAAATGACAGAACCCGTGAAACCTTCTTTAATGAAAAGAATAAAATGGCCACCAATAAATGTTATATCGACAGTGACATAAGTAATTTAGGTTGATCAAGAATTTGTGACAGTATATATGAAAACTTTTTTGATATTGTGTTTTTGTTATGTCAACCGGTTCTGAAGATGCTTTAATACTCTTTGAAGTGGGCTCTTAAGACTCTTTATAAATTTCTGGAGCGAAAAAAAAGTACATGCCTGAAGGCATTCTCGAAAAGTAATTTTTTAATCTAGTAGGAACTTGTTTAATAAAATTTATTCTTTGTAGTTAAGAAAATGTTTATTCTTTCAATGTTTCATTTTTTTGGAAAATTCCGGTTATTCTCACGACCATTTACAGTTCTCCGATCAAATAGTGCAGGTATTTGAGCGTGAATGTGAGTCTTTTCTTAAATCAAACGCACCCGCATCTAGACAGGCATCATTTTAACCCTTTCAGTCCCGGCTTTTTCTTGCGAAAATTGAAAATATGATCTTTTTTCTTTACGAAGCAATTACATATTTGTCTCAAAAAAGCATTAGTAGTCCATCTTTGTATGGTTGTCGTTGAAACAATCAACAATACATAGAGGTGCATCGCAGTCAGGACAAATATATCGTGTAGAATGAGGTGTAGTGTGTGGGTGCAGATGGCGATTTGAAGCTACTACGACGGATGTAGGTGATCTCTGAATTCTCAACTTTGGAACCTAGAAGCATAGAGACTGAATGAGGATGCTCAGATGGACACACTCAACACTCTTATGTAGGCTCTATGCCTCTGAGTTCCAACATTGAGAATTACGAGATCACCTAAATCTATCGTGATAATTTCACATCGATGATACGGATGTGATTCTTTTGCTTAGTAGCCCCATCCACCCCACACCTAATAAACGATAAAAAGATGTTTCCAACAATTAAAAAATATACCAGGAGCATCTTTGTCAAGTAACTGCATACGGACGCATATATGCGTGACCAGGACTCAAAGGGTTACGCAGTTATCCTTATTTATTCAGTATGTAATTGAAACTAACCGAGTAAGAGAATCTAGACTAGTATGCGGTTTCTCCAACATATTCAATCCAGTTGAAGAGCAAAAAATTTTTACACTCTTTTACTAAAAGTACAAAATGAAATTGAAGTACAAAGACATACATGAAGATAACTGTGTATACAAAGCTATGTTTTTAAACCTAGAAGACTGTAAGAATAATTAGAAACTTCAGTTAAAAACTATTTTTAATGTCTTAATGCTATAATTACATTTCAAGGAAGATACAAAAATTCTTTCTTACACTTTTATCATTTAAACTAGTTTGAACTCGACCACTACATAAGACTACAGTTTGTCGTATGCAGCGTTCTGGATGCTCTTTAGTCATATGCGAAGACTTTTTGACAAAAAGATTGGACGGACCCGAAATTAAAAGAGATGATAATTCTACTACTTAGTGGCACAACATTGAATATTTAATTGTAATTATTCATGATACACTGTGAACAAATATCATAGCACATTACTTTTATCTTAATCAATTGTATAGCAAACAGAGAACAATTATTTTTCCCGCGTCTTTCTAATAAGTATCGACTAAGTTCAACTGTTCATATTAAAAACATCGTCAATAGAAAAAATATGAAATTTCAAAGAATTATTTCGTACAACTGTGAAAGCTACATGCTTTTCAAATAGTTCACTTTTTTTTCTTGTAAAAGGTATGAGCAATGCGTCAATTGGAATACTGATCTCTACTTACCATATCAGTGAAATGAGGGTGAAAAATCCAATTAAAAAAAAAAAGCAAGATATATTTTTAAAAAAATTCTTGATTGTTATTTCACGACACCTCAACTAGTGCTACTAACCAGAAGAAGAAAGCATAGACGACGACATTCAAAGTTTCAAAAATCTTTAATAGGTACTTTTTTCTTCCTTGAATCAATGTCAATATCAAAAAACAGATATATTTCATCATCAACTGTACAAGTAATTTCTATTTGTTCTTGGCCAACGAATGGTATGAATGTTTCACTTTTGTGACTGATTTCAACCGTAAGACATAAATGAAATTCATAATGATGTATTGCTGAATATATTTTACTTGTTGTGAAATACAAAGTATCTATTCTTTTTTTGAGTAATTCTAATATGAATAAAAGCATTCATCATAATGACAAATGTTTGTTTTTATTTCAATAAATTGCTGCAATTTCTTTATTTACTATTCTTTAAAAGAATAGATTAACCTTAACAGAAAAATTATATATTTCAATGAACTACTTTTATAAGGACATTCATTTCTCATTATTAAACATAAATATTATTTTGGCTAGAAGAAAATATTGAGAACGATTAAAAAACTAAAAATAACCACTTATTCATCGTTACTCTTGAGAAAGAAAGAACGAGAGCAATACCTTGATTATATCAACATGAGTGTCCTTCATGAATATTTCATAATCCATAGGAATTCTTTTACTGATATATAAAAGAATATGTTTAGTTTTTAATTAGTTCTTTCGATTTTTAATTAAGCAAAAATGTCTTCAATAAACCAATATGAATTATTAAAAAAAGATGGTTCATGGAAAGATCGTCTTAAATATGTTTTATCATTGACTGATAAAAATGAAATAGAAAAACATTTAAAAGAATCATCATTGTCATCTTATGATGATTTAAAAATGTTGATTTTTTTATCATTATCAATTAAAAATGAAAAAAATATTTATTCGACATATTTAAAAACAATTTATTACCAACAAAACAACGAGCTTTTGCTGGTCAATGTTGGATTCTGCTTCAAAAAGATGAAAAACAAATTCATAATTTAATTGTTGAATCAATCAATGATAAAAATCTTCCTCGATAGTAAGTTTCTTTTTTTTTGTTTTGAAAATAATTAAACTTGTTTTTAATTTTCATTTAGTTTAAAAAATAAAATATTGAAAGATCTTCATCGAGTCGATTGTTTAAAAAAGTCTTCATCATTTTATTATGATCTTGCTTGTCATTTAACAGAATCAAATAATCATGATCAATATAATATAGATGCATATTTAGTACCATTTTGTAAATACGATCAAATAATTGATCTTTTATCACGATGGTCATTAAAACGTGTTGAACAAATTAGTTTAATATCAGCATTTTATTTAAAATTAATTCATTATATCAACCTCTTATTATTATTCATTTAATGAAAGGTGATTTAAATGAAAATAAAAATGATTATGAAAAATTTTCAAATTATTTTCATGAAAATAATAAAATATTTGATTTAATTGCAAAAAAAGAACCAAAAGGATTGATGAATTTAACAATTGAGTATTTAAATCAATTAGAAAAACATAAAAGATTTTTACCTTATTTTATTCATTGTAAATAAAAATATTTTTTTTTAAATGTCCAGAAGAAATGATTCAAATAATAATAATGGTCAGTTCAAATCAACTAGGTTTTTAATTTGATTTTATTTATTTATTAATATAGGTCAAATGAAACATACATCTAGCTGGTGTAATGAAGGATTTGATTTCAGTTCACTTCAAATACCTCGTTCATTTTCTATTGAGAATTACGTTCGTTTATTTCTTGCTTTATATGATACATGTAAATGGTCATCAAATCATACAATTCGTATATTTGAATATATTTTAGAAAATCGACAACAGGCACTAAGTCTTTATAAATTAAAAAAAGAACAAAAATGGTTAATTGATATTGTTATTGAAAAACATATTGAAAAAGAATTATTTTTAAAAAAAATTATTAAAAGAAGGAAATGAAGATAGTCTTCGACCATTTCAAATGTATCCAGAATTTACAACACCACTTTCTATTCATATATTATCACAATATGAACGTAATGGAACAAGTGATGATTAAGAACGTTTATCATTGCTTCGTTATCATTTAATGACACAAGAAATTTTTGATGAAGTTTTATCTTTATTTAAAAAAAACAGGTTCAAATGTTGATCAACGTATTATAAATTATCCACTTTTTCTTCAATGTGCTATATCAACAAATGAACAATATGTTAAACAAGTTCTTGAATGGATTGAAAAAAGATTTACTAATGAACAATTAAATGTTATTGAAAGTTTCTTAAATAAATTAACTTCATATAATATGCGATTTAATTTAGAATATTTATCAAATAATATTAATTCAATTCAAACTATTATTGATATTGCTATTAATCATTTACAACAATCAACATATACTTTACAAATTATTTTATCTTATGGAATATTTTTACTTCGATCTGTTGAACAACATCCAAATAAACAACGAAAAGAAATCATTCAACAATTTGCTAAGAAAATTATCAAACAGTAAGAATATTTTTTTTTATACAAGTCAAACAAAAATAGTTGATTTAAATATGTGACAGAATACATATTATTGGGATGAATGTTTTCGATAGACATCTATAACTAACCGATGTCACACCTTTATTCATATCATCACCAGTATAATATGCGATTAGTCAAGGGGGTTCAGATAAAAATCTCGCTTTTTTTTTATTCTTTGTTAGAGAGCTGCGGGTCCACGTTTTTTTGAACCCGAATCCGATCGATCATGTCTAGACCTGAGTTCCTTTTTCGCTCAAACATAATATTAGAGAGCTGTAAATCGAAGTTGTCGTGTACTTGGACTCGGCAATTAATCAAATTCTGAATTCGAACTCGCAGCTCTTCACTCGTCGCGCCGCTCAGTTTTGTCGGCCCTCTGCTCCCTACTAGATGTCTAAGGTAAAAATAAACAAACTTTCACAAAAGGATGTATATGAAGTTGGAGAGAGTGTAGCCAAAACATGTCTTTTTGATAAACAACAAACAAAAATCTTACTTATCATAAAGTTTTTGTTCTTCGAATATGTTCAGTTTTAATGTGTAAAAAATAAAATTCAATATCAATGGTACTCACAAATGTAACAACATTCATATTACTGCTCGAGAAAATGATTGGCCGCCTTTATCAGAAATGTTTGAAACATTTCTTGAACGTCCGTAATGCAAGATCCCTTAAATTTTAAATTACAATCTAAGTATGGTAACTGTAAGATAAAATTTTTCTTTCCTAACCCTCTTGACTTCAGGTTTTGAGACAAATTTTATCTTCCTTTATTTCGTTTATATAATAAATCCTAACAAAAAACTGATATAATCAGGAAAAAAAAAACATTATTTTAACTGAACCGTACGATGGCTATTTTTCTTGTCCTTCTTATCTTGTTTATTTTGTTGT